GCTGCCCACCATGCTGGGCCAGGGAGGGCAGGCAGGGAGGCTGGGATGCTCCCACCATCCATGCAGCAGCCAGAGTCACTGCCCCACACCCACTGGAGCAGTGGCAAGGCTCACTGGGATGGCAGGAGGTGTGTGCTGCTTATTGCCCATCCCATGGCTGGGTGAACCACAGCACTGTCCCAGCCTGGAGAAGAGCACAGGATTTGGATGCAGCGCTGACCAAAGAGACACAAGCTCCCTTTTATAGAATCCCAGAATGGTTTGGGTTGGAAGGGACCTTAAGATCACCCAGTTCCACCCCACTGCCTCAGACTTCTCTGGAAACTTCCTAAATGCTCCTGCTTTAGCTGGTGCAAACGTGTCCTGAGGAACCTAATGGCAGCAGTTAGTTTGAAATAACACACACAAGCTCTTCTGAAACAAAACATTTTCATGCCTTCTCTGCACTTGAGCCAATTTCTTCAGGCATCCTGCCCCATATTTAAGAACCAAAGGCAAGATCCCCACATCAGATGTCTAGCACTAAATTTTATTGCCCTGCACTTGAAAATATGTTCCTAAATATCTCAAACTCAGGCACCTGGAAATAAGCATTTGCCTTTGGAGCGAACAGAAAAGGAAATAATTCCTGTATGTTATTTTTATTTTCTTTCCTTTATATGGTTTTAAGCTGCTTTTATGCGGCACTGGAAAGTTCCAGCCCATGATTTGTGGCATTCTGGTCTGCTAATAGAAACATCCTCCTGCCTGCTGCTCACTCTGCAGAGCAGAAGGATCGTAATGCAGATTGTAAATGGTTGCATTAGGGAGAAAGATAATGTTTCTTTCCACTTTCATTTCCCTGGGTTGGTGTTTATCGTGGTAGGGGTTGCGTAAGCACATGACAGAGATCATGCATTATTCACCAGGCTGGGGCTGGGGAAAGGCTCCAGCCCTTCAGAGCGTGGATCCACGCCCGGCAATTCCCACCCGCCAGGATTCGCGCTGCGTGTGCTGGGAGCTGGGCTGAAGGATTGGCAAAGCAAACAGGATTGGCCTGGGGAGCAGCAGGGACGGGGCTGAGGGGCACAGGCTCTGCTCTCCCTCTCCTCGGCTCTGCACAGTTTGTGTCATTATTTATTTCACTAGACTGGACCAGAACTGCCACCGAGTCGCCACAACCATCAACCAACTCCTAAACAAAACACCTGAACAAAATCTCTTGCTCTTGGATGTATCTGAGGGCAGACAAACCCAGACATGGGGTGACACAGGAGGAGGGAGAAGCCTTTCCAGCCCCAGACTGTCCCCATGATGCCACCAGGGCCAGCAATGCTGACCCAGTTTCTAAGCAGGACAGGAAGTTGCAACACTCTAAAGTTTATTATCATTAAACTCTAGCCAGTGTCAGAGGCCCTGTGTTTGTCCTTGCAGTGCTACTGCCAGTGCACATAAAAACTAACAAAATCAGCCACTAAATGCTGGCAGCCTTGGGAAAGAATTAAAAAATCCCCCAAACCAAGAAACAAACCCAGTGAAACTACTAAATAAGGAATAAGTTAATGAGGAAAAATTAAAAGGAACTGAAGACTTTAAAAACTCTTCCAAATTAAGGACAACAAAGAGAAAGGATCAGCTCTTATTTTTGCAATTAAGGTGTTATTTATGGCAATTTAGCTGTTTAAAGATTAAGCCTGGATACCACAGAAAATACATCTGATTTACTCCCAAGGCTTCTCATCAGTTTGTATATGAGCTCCAGCCAGCCAGCCAAAAAGCAAGAGGAGTTCAGACCTCCCTGTGTGCACACAAAGCTCCTGTAAAACACCCCAAGGATTGATCCCCACGCTGGGCAGCTGCACTGTGACCCCTGGAAACAATCACAGCCCTGGCAGCAGAGCTGGGACACGGCACCCTCAGGGCAGGGATCTTCCAGGAATGAGAGAGAACATTGTGTGGGAGCAAAAGGGAAAAAATAAAGACTCTGGTTCTGTGGGTACATGCAACCTGCAGTGAAGAGAGGTGGAGAGAGGGTGCTCACCCTGTGTGTGCAGGGCAGAGATGCAGCCCCACGAGGGATCTGGGGGCATTTACAGGGCAGAGCAAACAGCGCCTGTGCCCTGTCCCAGCAGCAAGGGAACCACCCCATGCCAGGGCTGTGCCATCCTACCCCAGGGACACACCCAGGGGAGTGCAGGGAAACATCACATCCCATCCATCCCATCCCATCCATCCCATCCCATCCCATCCCATCCCATCCCATCCCATCCCATCCCATCCCATCCCACCCCATCCCATCCCATCCCATCCCATCCCATCCCATCCCATCCAACCCCATCCCATCCCACCCCATCCCACCCCATCCATCCCAGGACTGTGCCCAGGGACACACCAGGATAATGCTCCCCATGGGCTCAAGGGATGGAGTGAAAGATGCCAAGGAGCCCCTGGCAGAGCCCTTTCTTCTGCACCACACCTCTGTGCAGGGAGGAAACACATCAATGGCCATGACACCCCTATGCATCTTTTGTTGCATTTTCCTCCTGTTACAGAGTTGGAAACATCTGCAGAGAGCCTGTATGTAAAACATTAAGACTGTGCACACTATTTGTAGGATTTAGCCCCAGACACCTTCTTGGTTTTCTTACATATTGGTAACAATATGTTACCAATGAAACAATAAAGGAAATAATGAAACAATAAGGAAATAAATAAAACAATGAAAACAATAAAGGAAATAAATAAAAGGAAATGAATAAAAAAAACCCCAACATGTAAAGCTTTGTTAAACTCAAAAAGCAGTTCAGAGAGGAGAGAGCTGAAGATGGGATGGTGCTGGGAAGGCATTCAGCCTTGCTGTGCTGCTGCTCACAGAGTCCCCTCTTTGAAGGAGGCATGAAAGGAGACATTTCAGCATGAGAGTTCAAACTCTGTGGCTCTGTTGATTTTTCCAGCCCCCATGTCTGCCTGCCTCGGCATCCTGTTCTTTGAACGTGCAGAGTAAATAGGTGTAGCTCCTGTGGCTCTGTGGGCAGGAGATGTGCTCCCAGGAGGAGCTCTGGGGGCAGGCAGGAAAAGCCCCTGCTGCCATCCTGAGAGCAGCATGAGGCACTCAGAGCACTGGGGCTGAAAAACGGCAGGAAAAGAGAGAGAGGGAGAGTCGAGAAAACCTTCCATAGAGGGAGAGCTCCTTGTGGATGACAGGGTGCCCAGGACTTGTGAGTAAACACACAGGTAATGGCTCTTCTGAGGATGGATGCAGGAGGGTGTGAACAGCAATGTGACAGAGATGTGTGAGATTTCTGCCACCCCAGCAGAGCTGCTGGTGGCACAAGGGGTTGAACTGGAGCACCTGGAGCCTGGCAGGAGATGAGGAACAAGCTGACCAGGGCCTCAGAGGGTGCTGAGTTTTTATTTTATTCAAATCTAACTGACCAGAAGATTTCTCTTCTCTTCCTTCGCCCTCTCTCAGCAGAAACATTTATTATGCTAAGTGAAATGTTTAACCACTGGCACTGTTGGCTGCAATAGCTCATCATAAGCAGCTTTAGCGTTTGCTGGGATCAGCACCCTGGGGCTGGAGGTGGTGTTTTCCTCTGCCCGGTTACTCTTCCTTGCTCCTCTCGTCTCCCCGGCCCATTTTTCAAGTTCCAATGCGTTAAAATAAAAGTATTAACGGCGCTTATCTGATGCATGGGAGATTGTGAGAGCAAGCTGGCGAGCAGCCAGGAGCTAATAGCAGCATAAAGCAATTTGCTGAAAAAAAGAATTACCATGCTAATTGTCAGGCTGGAGAGGGTGCTGGGGATCACAGAGGAGTAAAAAAAAAAAAAAAAAAAAAGGACATTGATTACTCTAGATTTAAACAATAAAGGGATGAAGAAGAAAGAAAGGTTTTGAGGCAATTTTCTTCTTTTTTGTCCCGTTCTCTGCTACCCTCCCCCAGCTCAAAACCTCCAGCCAGAGCCTCAGGCACTCACGGGAATTTATCCGAAGATCTCTTCCTTTTTAGCATCGTGTCAGTGCCAGCTGCACCGCGGGCTGCGGAGCTGGTCGGCAGCACCGCGCAGCCCTGCCCTGTGCCCTGCCCTGCCCACGGAGCGGGGGGCAAAGCCGGGTCTGACAGAGCCGGGTCTGACAGAGCCAGGTCTAACAGAGCCGGGTCTAACAGAGCCGCACTGCCCCAGCCCGCGCCTCGGCTGAGCCCAGCGCCGGGGGAGGCTGCCAAAAACTGACCCATTCCCAGAGGAGCTTTTTTGGGGTTTCTTTCTCGAACAAAGGGACATCGCTCTTTTTTTTTTAATTATTATTTTTTTAAATTTATTTCTCTCAAAGCAATGAAGGAGTGCCTGGAAAGCTCAAGCAGAAAGCTCAGCCTCTTCCCGCTGGCTCCAGAGAGCGCCGCTAACTGGGATTAAGAAAGTCAACTAATGCTTCCCAGCGCCGGGATTTCAGCAGCGCGGAGCCTCCCGAGGCAGGGAACCGCGACGGCAAATCCGGCCGCATCTCCAGGCAGGCAGCAGCCGCCTCTGGGCGCAGATGCCGTTTAACCCCGGATTTATGTGCATCCCACTCCTGCAGAGCCGCTGGAAAACCACCGTGCCTCCCCTTGGCGGACAGTGAGCGCTGCCAGCCCAGCCGGGGCTGCTCCGTGCCCGCTGCCAGCCGGGCTGAAGAGGCTCCGTGTCCCCCAGCCCATGCCGGAGCGGTGGCACCGGGCTCACAGCCTGCTCCCAGCACATCCCTGCTCCGTGCCCGCTGCTGAAGAGGCTCCGTGTCCCCCAGCACATCCCTGCTCCGTGCCCGCTGCTGAAGAGGCTCTGTGTCCCCCAGCACATCCCTGCTCCGTGCCCGCTGCTGAAGAGGCTCCGTGTCCCCCAGCCCATGCTGCAGGAGCGGTGGCACCGGGCTCGCAGCGCGCTCCCAGAGCTCCCCGCACATCCCGGCTGACCGGCAGATGAGCCAGCGCATTCCCCCAAACGAGGAGTGCTGGGAAAACCAGGGCCAGGACACGAGGTACCTGTATCATTTTTGATTAATATTTGCGAGTAAATGCTGTAGATATGAGGCAAGAAGATTTAAAAGAAAGTCACTGAGCCGTGCAAGTGAATTCATTTGTTTCAGACAACATGCGGCTGGGTTGCATCCTTTTACAAGCAGGAACATTATTTCTTTCCTATGCCAAAGACTGACTGCGTTTGCCCTCCTGTTTTACTTCTGCTGTGGAAGAAATTTAAGCAAGAACATGTATAGTGAATTGCTCAATTCTACCAGTGCCACTGAAGCTCACCTAATGATTCAGACCAACACGCCCTACCTGAGCAGCACCCCGAGACCCGTGAGCTCCTCTGCTCTTTACATGTCGACAGCCAGGGTGTTAAAAGAAGGGGAAATAAATAAGCCAGACCTGGTGACTTACATCATTCTATTTTTCTTTCTGTTCTTGACTGTGACATTCATTGTGTTCTTCATAAACTGCCAGCTGAAAAATTCTTTTTTTGCTACTCTTCCTTACGACAGATCGCTCCGGGAGGCGAGGAACCCGTGGAGGACACAAGCTGTCTGACACCTCTCATCCCAGCAGGAGCAGGCACCACAAACCCTGTGCAATAAGGAGCTAGTGCCATGTGCCAGTGCACGGATGTGAGCCCCTCCAGAGTAGTGGGCAGGAGGAGATTGCTCAGAATTCTGCTGTATGCCAATCTGAGTAGCTGTAAATAAAAAGCTCCGTTATGAACTGAAGAGAATGCTTTAGCAAATTGATACAGGTTTTGCAAAAAATTGCCCCGTGATTCCAGATTAAGCTCTGTGTGTATGCAAATGTCATCATCCACCCATTCAGTGTCCATACAAGGATAATTGTATTAACAACAATCTCTGATTTGGGCATCTGGTGGAGCTTGTTCCCCCATGTTTAGGAAACCAAGCATCAAATGTACAAAACCAGTGTATTTACCTAACAGCTCCACAGAGATGAGGTTACTTTCCAGACCTGTTTTTCCCAACTGCTGCTGGAACTGCATGGTGATGCTGTGGGAGGCCTGCCAGGCAGGAGGAGAAAATGAAAAATGTTTATTTAGGCTTTTGATTGTCATTCTGTTAAGGGTGTTTTTGATGTTTGAATGCATCATTGATCAAGTCTTAAGTTACTACTTATGTGAAACACTTACTACCTAATGAATTTATTTTCATCTTTCATAAGCTGCAAAGGAAATTATTTGCCACAGCATGAAACCAAAATAATCAGGCTGGGGAGAAGTGGGAAAAAAATTAATATATTTAATATTATGCAAACTAATGAGAAGTGTGAGCAGAGTGCTCCAAGTTTGATACACAAAGTGGATAAGTTCTGAAAGCCATAAAACACAGCTTTATAGGAATAGTAGCTTTACTTTACCACTCCTTGCTCTTCATCTAAACCTAGCCCAATTAGAAGTATAAATTATCAATATGACAACAGCTTGATTCAACACTGGTCACTGGCAACCCCTACCATTTCAAATTACTATCTGATTTTGTTCTAAAATCAGAACAAAAAAGCTCCTGGTAGGTGACAAACTATTTTGTAGATGCTGATTTCTTGTAAACTTGCAGTTACAGCACAATTCCAAATGAAGCTGCATGAATGTGGGAAAAGTGTCCATAATTCCCACAAACAGCAGGCAAAGGGCTTGGGTTTTGGGTTTTTTTGTTTTTGTTTTTTTTTCAAATCAAATAGCTCAACATACAGGAGAATTGCAGCTATCCAGAAACACCTGGATCCAGTGTGTTTCTGGATAGCTAAATCCCAAATCCTACTGAACTACAAAAATTGTCCTAAATCCTATTTTAGCTGCAGTTTTGGGTATTGGATCATCTGAAATGGCTTCAAAGTAGTGTCAGATGCTGCTCCTAACCCTGTTCTTGACCTGCAGAGTACTCCAGAGGAGATGGGTGTATATATGTGTACATAACTTATTTCATCCAAAGGAGGAGATTTAACAATGCAATTACACACAGGCTTGCACTTAAGAACACAAAGTGTGTATATATGGAAGTCTGTTTGCAAGTTTCTTCTTTTATAACCCAAAAATTGCCCAGTTGATAACACTTCCATGTCATTGTCTTTGTTACCATGTCTTATTTTGCTCCAATAAGCTAAACTACTCCATAACAGATTTCAATATTTTATTCCTTGATATGTGGCCAATATTTCCTCTGAACCAAATTTAACTAGTGTAATTCCAATTAATGCAGAAAGCAACAATAAATGCAAGTGTATTTCTCTCAGCCCTTTTTGAATAAATCAAGTTTTATCAAATCAGACATTTCTTATTTATTTTTAAGTAATGACAGCTTGTTTTCAGCTACCAGCCATTATGAGTTTGGTCTAAGAATTTCTGCTGGCAAGAGCCTCAGAACCTGACAGAGCACACGTTGCTTTGCACTCTTTATTTAAACATCCAAGAATAGCTCCAGAATAATCCTATTTTTCGCCACAGCCTGGTTGGAGTAATACTACAGAAGAACCTGTCATGCTGATAGTATTAACTGATTTTCTGGGAATGCTTTTATCCATGCCCTGTGCTGCTCTCATCAATATCCAGGATCATTTCTATTGCAGAAGAGAGTTTCATTAATGATAATTTGAATCATAGAATCCTAGAACAGCTTGGGTTGGGAAGGACCTTAAATATCATCCAGTACCAACTCCCCTGCCATGAGCAGAGTCATTTTCCAATGCCAAATTGCTCCAAGCCCCTTCCAGTCTGGCTTTCAGCATTTCCAGGGATGGGCTCCACCATAATTTTAGCCAATGTATGAAACATGTGTGTAGAAAACTTTCTGTTTTACCAGGCTCAGATTCAAGCTGACCAAAAAATCTACTTTCCAACTGCAAGCACACCAGGGAGGGACTGACAGGCATTGCTTCACTTGCTGGAACTGTTTTATTGGATGCATGACACATGTTGGGTCCCATAAAGCTTTCTGGTATTAATCTGCTGGTGTGTATAAATCCCACCTGTCTTTCTGAGATTTTACCTTGCCCCTGCTGTCCCACATCAGCTGTAGCAGGAACATTTCTGTCCATGGTCCCTGTCTGTGCAATCCCCACTGGCTCAGTCTGTGCTAACTCAGAGCATCCCTCTGGTGACAGCCACACCAACTCCTGCCTGAGGCAGGGGCTGCAGGAGGTGACAGTGACAGTGACAGAGCTGCCTGTGACACCTCAGATGTGCTGCCCACTGCTCCTCCCTCCAGCCGAGCAGGGGCACATCGAACAGCAAGAGTTCAGCAATTAAATATGAAAGTGACTGAGCTGGCAGAAAGCTGCTCTGTACTCCAGGACAAGAAAGATCTCTCCTGTCACAGGGTACAGGACACCCAATGTTTAATTACTTTAATTTGCTTTTCACATAGCAGTGAACAGAAGCAGCCTCTGACTTATTGAACACGCAGTGTAGGCTGCAGAGGGGGTGGAAGAGGGCTGGTTTCACCCAAAACTTTTTTTCCATTTGTAAAAATCTCATGAATAAAGAATTTCAGAGGTTGCTTTGGCCACCTACTCCCAGAGTTGCTACTGTACCTCCAAATTCTGCAGAAAGACCAGTGAGATTAAGAAAAACCCCTCTTCATTTCTACATTATTTAAAACTTTTAATAATCTAAGTATTTTGTTTGCTTGCTTTTTACTTAAAAAACTGCCCATAAAAATCCACATAAAGCTTCTGGAAAGCCAATAAGCCACTGAAACTTCATCTGAGATCTCAAAAATTAGGCTGTATAATCTGTGTAATACTACCACAGTAAATCTTCTGGAGGATTTTCATGGCAATCCTTGTCTTGGAAGCAAACCCATGAAAATAGTACAGTATCAAGAGTTTAATTAAAAAAATGCATTTTTACCTGAGTGACTGACTGGATTCTCATTCAGAGGAAAAAAAGCTCTTATTATTGAGAAAATGTCAGAATTTCAGAGCATTACTGCAGGTGGCAGTCTGCTGGTAAAATTAAATCCCAAAGCAGGAAGCCCAGACAAGATAAAGTTGTATCACCATCTTCGTTTCAGTTTTATACCAGCAAAATCATTTGTCATTGTGGAATTGGGATTCAGTGTTTTTGTACTCATCCTGCCAAAAAAAGATTTAATATATGCACACCACTTTTCACCCTCTATTTCTGCAGTATCTTGGTAAACAAGGGAAACGTTTTCTTCCCCTCAGTCTTTAAAAAGAAGCTAACATAGAGTTCACCAAAGTTCTAAATGTACATTTTACTGCAGCAGTACTGAGTTACAAGAGATATCTGAGCAGCCTTCAATTCACTGAAAGGCTCTTGGTCAGCAGCTCAAGCTCAACACATTCAGGCACGATGAGTTGGTTCAAAATGTTATGGTTGGCCACAGTGGGAAAAAAAACCCCAACCACCCCCAACAGTCAGCAGATTGCTGAGGTCTCACAGAAATACTTCAGTTGGCAGTACAAAAAAGAGTTACATAAGTACTATCAAAATGATACCATTTTGGCTAGCTGCATTCTACAAGAAAAAAGAACTATTTAAAATGAAGTTAGGAAATAATTTAAGTCTCTGCTTCTGAGAGCACAGCAGCTTTCAAGTTTCCAAAAAGCTACAGAAAAGTACTCTTGAAATGACAGGATCACCTTTGTGTGAGGAGGAATATGGACATGGAGAGGCATCAGCACGGGATAAATTAACCCTTGTAAACAAACACTTGAGACACAGAATTACAGAGAAAGGAAATCAGAAGAATATGTGGGGTTTTTGTTTTGTTTATTGAAATATGAGCAGCAGTATGCAAAAAATATCTTTAAAAACATAACATAGCAAAACCTAGTAATTTTAAAATTAACAAAATAAAAAGATGTTTAGAGTTAAATGAAAAAACCTCATTGCTAGAACTGTGTTTTCTACAATGTAAACAAAAGCATAAAGGTTATGCTTGCAACAAACACAGAAGCAGGTTTATGGAGCAGCACAAGAAAGCAACATTACATTGTAATCTGATGGTTTGGTCTATTGATTTGAATTCAGAATGGGAAACCCTCCTCAACAGAAACTTCACAACTCCAGAAGAAAGTTAGTCACATGTTTGTCATTTGAAGCAAAACATTTAGAAAATGGTTTGGTTTTGTTTTTGGTTTTTGTTTGTTTCTTTGCCTTTCCAGAAACCATCACCAGCACTTTGAGCAAGTAAAACAGCATCCTGAAAAAGTTACTATTTCAGACTAGTGAAGAAGCCTGACACATTTCAATGTCCTCTAGAGTCAGACTGCAAGAATCCAAGTTAATCTTACACCCAAGAATTGACAACTTTCACATTTTAATACTGTGGGGGAAAAAAAAATCATTGCTTCAAGCAAAACTAAAATAATTCCAACATTTTAAACAATTCTATCCTGAATTGTAACACCTGGGCTGTTTCATCATTCTTTTGCCTGTTGGGCTGTTCTGTCAGATGTGTCCCTCACTGGTCAGTCATGCTAGGTGGTTTTATTTTGGTCCTGTAGATTCTGTAGCCCAGTGTCAGCCCTTCATGCCTGATGCAGTTAATGAGAGTGACACACAGGCACTGCCTGGCTGCCAGCAAGGCCCAGGTGTGTGAGGAGGCACAGCCAAGCTGCTGCCTTATCTCAGGGACTGTAAAAGCACTGCCAGGAAAGCCTCCAGGGTAAGCCTGCTCCAGGCTCTCTGTTGGTATTGCCAAAGCTGTCAACCAGTGCTGGGGCTGGTGCAAAGCAGAAAGAGGCCCAGAAAGAAGAAAACACACTACAAGAGCCAAATGAGGTTTTACTGAGGAGCAACATTCAGTCTAAGCTGGGCTACACTGGAAAGGCTCCATCTGCCAATACACCACTGGCTGAGTCCATCTCCCCATCCCTCTCTCTAGGCCAGGGGTGATTTCTGCACAGTGTGCTCTACCAGGAGCAGCACTCCCTGCTCTGGTGACACTTTACACACTGTTGGCACCAAAAAACTTTCTATCCAGTCTATCCATGCACCCAGATCTGAATATTGTATCAGCAGCACAGATGAACAAAACAGGATTAGCAACATCATGAACCAGTAGCACACAAAATCTGCTAACCAGAAAGCTCCCAAAAAGCCCTACCAGGAAGGACAGAGATGTAGGATGCAGACAAACCTGACTGGGTTTGCTCCTGCAAGCCTGCCCTGCCAAAACCAGCAGTCACAAGGATATCCCAGCACTGCAGCTACTGCAGTTCCAGAATATGCACAAAGCAGAAAAATGCCAGAGCACTTCAGTACTTAATGACAGCATCAGAAGTGGGTTAACTGGATATTATTGCAGAAATTATGGTTCAGTGCATGGGTAGCCAATCTAACCACAATACTAGCACTAAACACCAGCTCTGGCTCACAGCACCCACTGCAGCACCCATTCTTGAGTCATTCAGTCAGCCACATATAAGCATACAAGTGAACAGAGAGAAGCCAGGTGAAAAACATTTTGGATAAAGTAAAATCTTGTACCTACAACTGCAATCTTTCCTTAATTCAATGTGCCATGTCATTTATTACATAAGCTAGTCAAGAAATATAATATTCTGTAGTGTTAAATATACATATTCAGCAACTTGACAAATGTCAGGCCCCAAGAAGAAAATAGAAGCAGGATCCTGTGGCCAACTGACTTGGCATCTTATTCAATCAAAAGAACTGTCTGTGGGTTGCAGCTCCAAAGAATGAAAGGGAAGAAACCAAGGCTAAGTGGCAGATAAATGTTACTCCCCTTCTCCTGAAGATGCACTCATCTGTTTTCAAACATACTTGAGAAACTGTTTAAAAAAACAAAACAAAACACAAAAAACCAAAACAGTAATACAGAAATTCCTGTACAAGAGAACATTAGGGTTCTGCAGAAGTGTTACATTTTATTCCTTTAAGGCAATTCATAAAAAACATTTTAATGACACGTAAACAATTCTTATCCTCTAAGATCATTTGTTACTTAGGTACCATACGATGCACGATTTCCACACTTGAGGAGAAACTGTCATTCAACAGAAGACACAAGAACTTGTTTAAAAAATAATTTTCTCAGGATTGCAGTAATTAACTGCAACACATTTTTTAATAAGTATTTGCATAATAGTTTTCAGCCTCTCCCCCAAACACTGAACCCTTTTCTGAAAAGGTGCTCAGGAAAGAGAAAAAGCAAGGTGAGTTTAAAAAATATAATAGGGTCTTTCTGCATGCAAAATTTTGTATATAATTCACTTCTAATTTTCTTAACATGTTTCTCTCAGCCTCTTTTTTATGATATAAAGGACAGAAATATGTATATGTTATGTAACTGATTTTAGTGTTCAGTACAGTGTTTAAATTCTCTACTTTGCCAAGTGCAAACATGGTTAAGTTCAACCAAGCCAAGTGCAAGGTCCTACACCTGGGTCCCAGCAATCCCAGACACACCCACAGGCTGGGCACAGGAGTGACTGAGAGCAGAGAATACTGGGGGGGTGGTGGCTGATGAAAAGCTCACCCTGACCTGGCACTGAGCACTCACAGCCCAGAAAACCAACAGAGTCCTGGGCTGCATCCCAAGGAACATGGGCAGCAGGGGGAGGGAGGGAGGGAAGGCACTGCCCCCTCTGCTCTGCCCTGGTCAGACCCCACCTGCAGTGCTGAGCACAGCTCTGGGCCCCCAGTGTAAGAAGGACATGGAACTGCTGCAGCAAGTCCTGAGGTCACAATTCTGGTAAGGGGACTGGAGCACCTCCCCTGCAAAGAGAGGCTGACAAAGTTGAGGCTGTTCAGCCCGGAGAAGGAAGGCTGAGTGGAGACCTCATGGGAACCTTCCAGCATCTGAAGGGGCTACAGGGAAGCTGGAGAGGGACTCTTTGTCTAGAACTGTAGTGACAGGACAAGGAGTAACAGGTCCAAACTGAAAGAGGGCAAATTTAGCTTAGACATACAGAAGAAATTCTTTACTGAGGCTGGTAAGGCACTGGCACAGGTTGCCCAGAGAGGCTGTGAATGCCCCCAACCCTGGCAGTGTTCAAAGCCAGGTTGGAGAAAGGCTGGAGCAGCCTGGTCTGGTGGGAGGTGTCCCTGCCCATGGAAAAGGGGGTTGGGACAGGGAGATCTTTAAGGTCCCCTCCAACCCTTAACATTCTGTGATTCTTTAGATGTGAGAGAGAAATTCCATTGTCATATTAACACAGTCCTTCAATCCCATAAAGATGCCAACCACAGCTACAAGTCTTCTGACTGAAGCCCTGCCATCAGGGACAGGATCAAGAGCACAGTTTTATGCAGGCTACAAAGAAGTGATTACTTTTGGTCATTACCAAGAGGTCTGAATTAAATTACATGATCTGGAAGTAAAAGCTTCTGCATTCAGTTACTCATTTGCTAAGCCACTCACAGTCTTCAAAGAGACTCAAACTCATACTTGAAAGTGAATTAAATACAGTGTAATCACTAATACTGCATAATGTCTACTGAGAGACTAAAAAGGCCTAACACAGATCAATTCCAGACTGGTAAAATAAAGAGCTAGAACACCAAAAAGAAAACAAAAAACTTATTCCTTCCAAAAAGTAGTAAGCACTGCCATTTACAAATAGTAGTGTTTATGTTAAAATAGAGAAAGGTACCTAAAAAGAAATAGCCTTGGCAACCAAATCCAAACGGCATGAGTGTAAATCAAAGCAAAACAAGAATCACTACTCCAGAACCGTGCAGGATGTTTACCTTGGATCAATTACTACTTTAAATGGTGGTTAAAAGAGATATTACAAAACCAAAGTGGGAAAAGGCTAAGAACTGCTATTCTGCATTAATATACAATGTGTTTATGACAGCATTTTCCAATAGAAAATACAAGTGTTTTTACACCACTCCAATATTTGTAAAAAGTATATTTCATGTGTACATTTAAAAAAAATCACATTGTTCAATCTGAGGCAAATTAGCCATAATAAAGTCTAATTTTGCTTATGACAGATGTCAACCGTAAGATGTTAAAACACTAAGCTAAAAATACAGCTTGCAAGCTGGAGCTGCACATGTTCAAACAGTTTCATTAAAACACATTAAAAAATCCCAAATTATGATATGTATTTATTTTCTGAAGTCAGTCTTCATTAATTCTTGTCCCTACAGGACAAAAAGGTTTTCCAGTTAAGACATTTGTCTGTTTAAGTTTTAAGGGGAAGAAGGGGAAAAGTGTTCTGAATTTTTCAATAGACTATTTTTTCCCTTAGGGCTCAACTGTCACTTAAGCATCACAAGAACAATTTGAAATGTAAAACTGATTAGCTATACACAATGGAATTGGTCACAAAGGGATCTAAAAAAAAACAGTTAAATCATAAGATCCATTCTCCATATAGCTCACAGTATCCACTGGAAGTTTCTCTAGAATTAGAATAAGTTCACTAAAAATAAGGCTGAAGGTGGAATTGCAGCACTATGAAACAGATGAGATGGGATTAAGAGGAGAACCCATTTGTGTAAGTACTTTATCCAGCCACTGGAGGGGCCCATGAAGATGAATTTCTATCCAGCACGGGGTGCTCGTGACATCCTGCCGGTGATATTCAGCTCCCCAGCCCTAGAAAATGAACAAAAGGGTACTGATCAATTTGAGGACATGATTGTCTTTTAAAATAACTACCAACAAGAAACAGGAAATCATGATCTCAAGGTATTTATCTGAAGGTAATTACCAATCTAGCCAGACTGATCTAAAGGAACAAACCCGAGGCTGGGAAGGAGCAGGAGGGAAGCTGCACCTGGAATCCTGAATCAAGTCTTGCATGCTACAGCCTCCTGTGGAGTTCCTGAGGATGACTCCTGGCCATGGCCACATCTCTCTTCTCTTTCAACCTCCTGTCCCCTCTCCTCCACACTCTCAAACTGAGCAGTATTTGTCATAACTGACAAAAGCAGTGAGACAACTTTGGGACAAGATGCAAACAGAACACCTGGAAAGCCCAAGTTTGGACTCCACACTAAACCTGAGACAGACAACATCTTGATTAAATAATACTCAGGAAACACTCCTGTGAGAACAACAGCACACCTTGACTTCAGGAACTCAAACCATGTCTTTTTTCCATATCCAGGGATTTTTTTAAACTAATAATCCATTTGAAGAAGCTGAAGATTTTCTACAATAATTTTGCTTCTTTCTACTCACATTCTTTTAGTGGACTTGTTATTCACTTTACTGCTTGAAATTTAGACCATGAACTTAAATCTCCTTTAATAAAATTACAGCAACCATAATGAATAAATTCCTGTCCTGAATACTAAAGTAACTGAATACACAGCCAACATTCAATATAAAATCTGTGCTTTTCCTTTCTTGCATTGATTTCCTTCCCCCTCAGTTAATCACTTTAAATATACTTATAATTGAAAAGAACCACATCAGGCCAGAACAGCTTTGCTGCAGTGCTAATGGAATTACTGCTAAATACCCAACCCCACAATAAACTTAAATACCCTCAGAATAATTTACCTTTACAAAACTCATTCGAATGGTGCACATTTTGGTGAGCTCATATACTGCTTCAAATCCATGATTGACAGACTGAGCTAAAAGCTGAGCAAACTCCTGATTGTTAAAAATCTTCAGGCTGCATCCACTGGGAATCTTGCATACAGTTGTTGGATGAAAGCCATGGTGGTAGTTGCAGTTCCTGCTCTGTACAAATATGCTGCTATCACTTAAACACTCAGCATAGACTTCTCCACCAACATAGTAGAGATGAACTCCTTGAAAACAAAGATAAGAACATTTCAAATTACTTTGTTGTCTCTGATTTCGAGGTAGTTATCTTAAATTCTATTTTATTGGGGGAAAAAAGAGTAAGTTTCTGCCTGAGGAGGTTTTCAGGAAAGCTTTTCCTTGCATTATAACACACCCTCATTTCAACACAGCAGGCTCATGGTACACCAGCCACTAGATGTCCTTCTCTGATCAATTACAGAATAGAATGAAAAAATTACTGCCACATTTCAATTGTTATTTCAAGCTATTTTTCTAGACTATTTATGTGAATTTATTATTAAAACCCCAGTTTTATACACCTGGCAGCTTCTACCTATGCCAAGTAGAACAGAAATAGGTGTGTCCTGGGAGAAGGGTCAGTGATGGGACATGAATGAGAAAGAATATCCACAGTCTGCTCAGATTTTCAGTACATTTTATCAAGCTGAAGGACAGGTAAGTCCAACTAGCTGCTCCACTTAATTACCATCAGGGTTTACAAACCTTAACATCAACACAGCCCCCAGATTAATCACATCTGTCTGCATTCAGCTATGCACTTGTTTTGAAGTCTATACAACATTATTATTGACTAAAAATTAATATACAAAAGCTGCCCATCCTTTCAGCACCCAAACTCATCTGCTGCCTGCTGCTTCACTGAGAATCTGCCTTCCCTCCCCTATGCCAGTTTTACATGCTTGGGATCCAGCTCTATTTAAGTCATCCCTGCAATACCCTGAGAATCCACTAAGGACCATCCTGTGATGTGCCAGAGGAGGCTGCAGCAAGTCAACAGATGCAAGTTAATCCATCAGACAGCAGCCACTGCTGTGAACAGTGCTAGAGCCACTTGGGACTAAGGTAGGATGGAGGTTGCAGAGGAACTGTTGGCTTCAACAACTACAAGCAGCTGTCACAATCTGGGGTGGGAAAGACTGCATTTTCACAACCCTATTTATTTAAAAAGACAGTGACCACCACTTGCCAGCTACAGTAAAAAACCTTAGCATGCAGGATTGACTAGCTCTAAGGAGGCAAAACCTCAAGACCTTTCAAGCAAAAGCCTTGAATAAACAGTATTTTATCTCTAAATAACCTTAATTGTTGTCAGAGGAGTCACCATAAAGCAAAGTTTAAGTTCAATAATTACTATTAGAGATGCAGCCATTTTAAAGCTCATTACTATTCTACAATGATGATGGGTCCTGGTTACACTTCTGACCTTAGGCAGATGCACAAGATTTCTCTGCCAATACCACTAAAAGGGGTGAGCCAAAACAAAAGAGCCTCACAAACCACCCACGCCCCACAAATCACTTGCTCTCCTTTATAATATTATTTTATTTATAAATTTTTTTGGACAACTGCAACACAAGGCCAAGTTTCCAACAGACGCAAATAGAATTTCTGGTCTCCAAATTATCTGCAAAATTTTGTCATATTTATAGTTATTTCTAATTAAAAGATTGTTACGGGAAAGGGTGAACTTTCATCAATCAAAACTCAAGACCAACTTTACCAAATGCTCTTAGGTGGTAAAAAGGCTTCTAAACATGTGCAAGAGAAAGAGGGTTCTCTTCTCAGGACTGAGTTAATCACAAAAAAAAAAAAATTCAGCAAAAGTGTTCTACAATTTAAGATAATCCAGGCACATTCCATCCAAGATGAAAACTGTGCATCTCTATGTACTATCAGCCAAAACAGTAAAGGAAAACTAGAAGATCTTGCAAAACCTGCTGTCTCCAGGAATCCCTCCCACACACATCCACGCCCCATGGATTCACTCAGACAAATGAGCCCTTGCAGTTTTGCATTAGCACTTCAAAGTCCTGCTGCCAACTCACCAAGATATTTGAACATACTGTAGACAGAAGGTAATACCTTACAACAACAAAACAAAACAAAAAAAAATCTCTGACATACTGCAAAGGTGTATGCAGGCAGAATTTAAGAAGCAGATATAATGTGGAGTATCATGGTATATCCTGTAATGTTTCTTGGTGCCGAAACACAGATCACTACATTTACCCTAACAAGCAAGCCCCCATGGCAATCTATTTTGGTAAGGCAGGGGGAATATTTAGTCTTTTTAATTAGTGACAAAGAAAAATGCAGGCAATTCCTGACTAATTAGAATCAAACCATACCCAACTAAGTTGTTTTCTGATACTGGAGAGGTAGATAATGTATCACATCTCAGATTACCTCCAGCATTCTCATCTGAGAATTATCACTGCTGCAGTGTAGAGAAATAAAACCAAACACTTGGTTCATAAGACAACTCAGTTTTACCTCTGTCATAAGACAAACTCAGCTTTCCCCTTGCCATAAGACAAACCCAGCTTTCCCCTTGCCATAAGACAAACCCAGCTTTACCCTTGCCATAAGACAAACCCAGCTTTCCCCTTGCCATAAGACAAACCCAGCTTTACCTTTGCCAATGTGCCGCCGAGTGTTCTCGATCGTTGAGTTGCGATTCACGTTGGAGAGCAAGCCTAGGCAGAACCTGTTCTTGTTATTGGAGGGGTCTGTGAAGCCATCTACTAAGACACTTGTGGAAGATGCATGGAAAGCCTCCCCAACACGGTTATTTAACTCATAATACACAATGGAACACCAGTGTTTGGGTTCTTCATAGGCAACAGGCTGAACATCTGAAAAGCAAATGGATGGAACAGTTTAGGAAAGAGTTAAAACACAAAAGCTACAACTGTCAAGCAGACCTTCCAAAACACCAAGCCAAGTAAAATCAGAGTAAACAACTATGATGGGCAAGAAGTGTCCTGATTATAACCTTAAAGATTTTGACCTTTGTGCATTTTAGCTGGCCAGTTGATTTGATGATTGTTTTCCAATTTTAAGCCTGATATTAAAAACAACCTTACACACAACACACAGAGAACAGACTATGTGATAGCAGGTAAAACATAAACCTTCTGCCCACTTTTAAAAAATCTGTTATAACTGGTATTTTGGGACTCAATTTTCAGAGCCTTTGTGCAAATGTTATTCCAGCAACAGACAAAGGTAGCAGAAAAGGAATGAAAAAAAATTCAACTCACTGTAAGCAACATTATGCACCTGAGGCTTTGAAAGGAAAAGATGAAAATAAAAATAAGCAAGGTAAATTTTATTTCTCAATTATGTCTCTTACAGCCAGAGTAAGGGGCTAGGAGGACTGCTTCCACCTACCAGCAAGATTTACTGGATTTGAAGTTATTCATTCAGTTTGGTCATGAGTTGCAAGACACCAAACTATGTAATTTTACACCAGACTATACAACTTACCTCTGGTAGAAATATTTGGCATGATCTGAGGGATCATTGTATTGCTTGTGTCCATAGACTGTGAATTATCCTGCCCCATTTGTTCATCAGGGGGCATATATGCAGGAGGTGGAGTATCAGCTACAAACATGAAAAAAATAAGAATAAATTTCAACAATTTAGAGTATTTATTTATACATTCTACAGTTGTAAACATACAAAAATATTACCAAACAAGATGTTAAAAAATTTGGCCTCATTTTCAAAGAAATCTGAACACAGCCAGCTGTCTTTACAGTAAACTCCTGCAATAGCTGAAATTTTACCTATGGAACCAATAACAAGATTGGAAACTTGAAAAAAAATAAGAGATGCACTTTTTTCTTTCTGCATTTTTTTTCCTTTAATACCTGCACTCCTTGCATTTGGGATGGATGACTCTGCTTCCCCCTTTTTGTCACACAAACAAAAGCTTTCTTGCCTACCCTCTTCTCAGTGTTCAAAAACAAAGCAGTAGAAGAAGTAACTATTTGCTTAGTATAACAAAGGCCTAGAAGAGTTTGGGGGATTTGCTGCTCCTGCAGGCTGAGCTCATTACAGAGGTGTGGATCTGTTTTCTTCCATCAGCACAGCACTGAGTGTGGCAACACCCCACTGTGCCCCATAAATGCATCCACCCCAGTACTTGGCCAACACAGATGCTCTCTGACTGGGACACTTCTGGGGAACTGAGCAACCAGATTACAAAGATTAGGCCACTGAGCTAATGGAAAAATAAAATCTCTATTAAATTACTGGCTTTATAAACCACACCAATAATCACACAGAATCAGTAAAACTTCTTTCCTTTGTCTCTATGAATTGTTTTTTCAGTGTTTTCCAACTTGGTTAAACAGAATCAGTTTAATCCAACTTGTTCCCAACAAAAATGGTTCTTTTTTCCAGTTAAACACCATATTTTAAATGTTTTTATTCAGTGAAATACATCAGTAAACTTCCTGTTGGGCATCCTGCTTTTGATTTCTTTTCATTGCTATTTCTTCTTCTAAAGTATGGATAAGTTATTCTGTAGTGAGGCTGTGCAAAAAAACTCACCAGTATTACATCCATGACAAAAAACAGTTGGAAAAATAAAACTGTAACAATTAACTCTGACCAGTGTCAAAACTAGGAATAAAATCCCATAAAATGCAAAAGAAAAAGCCATTTATGGCAAACACCACGAATTCCTGAGGTCACGGGTCACAACAACATGTGACATTTCAATGATTTTTATTGAACTGCCATTCAGGCTGTACTCACCTGGCAGCTGAAAGGGACTGGATGGCCCAGAGCTGGCTGGGGAGCTTGGGTAAGTGCTGCTGGCTGGAGAAGGGGGGTAGGGGCTGTTTGGTGAGATGGAGAATGGAGTGCTGTTGGGCTGCTGGAAGGAGTCCGGAAACGTCGCGTTGTGAGGCATGTGCGGCTCGTTGTGGCTCAGGTTCCTGAACTGAACTAGCAGGCTGTGCTGGGGGTTGAATTCACTATGTCTAGGCACTAACACTGGAGGTAGAACTGCAAAAAACAAACAAATCCCAAATGCATTTAGGTTAAAACCTGAGATATAAGGTAAGAGATACCAATAATGTGCTATTCTGCTCATCGTGGTAATTTCATCTCTAGCTGGGGTGGAAAGAGGAGCAGGGGATGAATGTGGCATGCCCCTACCCCATCCTCTTCTCCATTTTTTACATCATTCTTAATGAATGATTCAAACTTTATTCTTGCAAGAATCACAAAAACACACACATATTTCACAGCACCAGAAGGTGACCTTTTTCTAAAATATAATAAACTAAACCAGGCTACATGTGGCACATACTGAAACACTGATGCAGAAGTGCAAAACTTACATCTGCACACGTTAGCAAATCAGAGAAAATGAGAATACAGTCTCTATTACTACAGTCAAACTCTACAGTTACATATTGTCCTTTCCACTGAAGAGAAACAAAATCTGTACTGCCATATATTTTAACTTCAGCACTGCTGGAGTTTGGAATTCCAGTGCTGCAGCAGTGCAGTTGAGCACTACAGTCAATGCAGCAGAGTTACAACCACTCTGGGGAGCAAGGGAAGCAACTTCTCACCACACTGTCCAGAGCAACATTCTTCATCTCTCCCACTGCAATCCCAATCCTCCTCACCTTTCCCACAGCACATTTTAAAAGCAGGCTCCTCACCTGACACACGTCTGACACATACCTCCCTCTAACTGATCACATCTCCTGCTTCTATTCATCTCTGCTGTCTCCTAACTGGAAGTCATGTGGGGAACTCTACCACCCTAGAATTTTATAAATTTTATTTTTCATCTCTTCAGTTCATGTCACACACTGATTAAATAGCAAGCCCCTGAAAGGCAGCCACCAACATCCTTGCAAGGCCTGAGACTGAAACAAGTTTCTCAAAGAAAGTGAATCTGAAAGAACACATCACTGCTTTCTATTTCACAACAAAGGAGAAGATTGCTACTAACTTTAAGGGCAGCAGGCTAAAGAAGTCTGTGGGTAAAAGGTGATTAATCCCAAAGAAAACAGCTCGGACCATTAGTACAGAACGGACCACACACCTCCCCAAAACCCCACCAGTAATGTGCCCTTTGAACATTCCTCTCCCAAACTGCCTCACACACCACTTTCAGTTGGTTGTACAGTACCAGAGGAGGAGGAGGATGGAGTGAATAGTTAAGTGGTTACTAAAGATTCTGTTCAGTTTTTCCGACAGTAACTTTCAAACATACCTGGGCTCTCCACCCTCTTGTAGTGGTATGGATTAATGCAGACTTCCTTTTGTTTGGATCCAAAAGGAAATTCACAAATATCCAAGGGCTTCAGCTCGTGGTGGCTCTGCAGATCGGGCCAGCGCCACACACGGCAGTAGATGACGTGGGGAAGGCCCTTCCTGTGAGAAACCTGCAGCCGTCCGTCCAAGGAGCGGGGGATAGTAACGCACTTGCTGGGCTGCCCTGGGCTGCTCAAGGCTTTCTCCAGTTCTTCCATAGCACCCTTTTTCTTTTTCAGCTTTTTTACCAAAGCATCAACAGCTTTTTCTGCCCATTTTTCCTCTTCATCTCCTTGTTTCCAGCCCAACAGACGCTTTACAGCTGGGCTAGTAAAGGAGAACAAACTGGCCATTGACGTCATTTGACACAAGTCTTCAAAAAGTTTGTCGGGTTTTGTCTGTTGGGTTTTTTTGTTAATTAATTTGCTTTTTTCCAAATAAATGTCAGTGTACACCCAAAGCACTTATTGCAGCTGATGAGCCGTATTATTTCCTGGAGGGTGACAAATGAACATAGAGATGTCAGTGATGAAGCCTTCGCATCAAAAATGATGATGGATTCCTCCAATTTAGTTCTAGTAAAAAGATAATTGAACAAGGAATTAGTAAACAAATAAAGGCTGTGGTAAAACAAAAGGCATAGATGAGAAGACTTCCTCTTTCAACCCTAGCATTGCACCTGACTTTGTTTCAAAACCAAATCCCAGAAGTACTATGACCCCACTCCAAAAAAGTGATCAGTCCCCAAAGCTTGCACTACTGATTAGTGGGAATAGGGACCACCAAGGGATGATGGTCAGTAGAGACAGCACAACTCCCATTAACACTCCTTAAACTGATCACTTTCTCTCACAAGATAAGCTTGAGGAATATACTTTCAAACTAGCAATATAGCCCTGTCATGGTGCTGCACTAGAAAACTAAACTTGCTTTGAAGAAACAGGGAAGAGGCAGGCTGGAACCACCAGTTCCAAGGCCAATACTGCATGGAAATACTCAGCTTCTCAAATGGATCTTTATTTCCAAAAAGGAAAAAATCCTAAAGCATCTGCTTTTTCTTGAGCTCTAATTAGTTACCCCATGTTTTTGAGAATATGAAAAGAAATTAGGAAGAAACTGCAGACAAAGAACACATAGCACAATTAAAAGAAAACCCAATAAAAAGCACAAACCAAACCTTCTCCAGCCACCCAGAGAGGTGGTCAACCTTTTTTTAGCTGTAGCTAATTTTATGCTGCACTTCCTTATATCTTTTAAGAAGAGTATTTGAAGAGCTGGATATTTTTAGCCTTGGCAAAAAAAAAATTGTTTTCTTCTCCCCAGAAAAAAGAAGGGGGGAAAAGACGTGGTGGAGTAAGCATTAGAAATGTGACCTTTACTATAAAGTGCCTCGGAAAGGAGAAGAGCAGAACAACTGGCTCATGAATGGTGTTTTACCACTCACCAGTCCTAATGCAAATCCTCCCCCCAGCAATTTAAGGAGTACCGATGACAAGAGGAAATGATGGGCTGTGGCAAAGAACTGATAAGAACTTGTAAAATCCCTTGTGAATACTAAATAAGCAAGTATAGACAATGAGCAGCTGGCAAAAAGCAAGAGCAGAGCTAAGAGAAAGGATGTCAATAACAAAAGATGCTTCCTCTCTTGCTACAGAGACTGCCAAACAACATTGTCTCTCCACTTTTGATAAACCACGGTGAATTAGAACACCTACCCCAGCCCAAGACACCAAATCTGCACATAAGAGAAAAAGGGGGTGGGGGGGAGCAAAATGTTAAATATCTCTATGCTGGTTCTCTTAGATTGCTACCTTTAATCACAAAGATCTCTTTTCCTCCCATCTTTGATAAACTAAAAGTCACCTGATAAGGCTTTTCAAGTGTCTGGGCACATTTACAGGCTCACTCAGGCACTTGGACAGATCCTTCTATGTAACAAAGCCATGTGCTAAGCACCAGCAGCCAAAGCTACAGCAAACATCCCTAGGCAAGGCATTTATGTCCCAAGTGTAACCATCCTATATTTTCTATCATGGAGTTAGAGGGTGAGGAAAGCAGGGAACAATCCCAAGGACACCTGGTGTTCCTTTACAGGAAAAAAATCCATTTATTTCATGCAGTAGCTTAATCCCATTGGTAGTTCTTTGATTATTCAACTTTGTTTCAGTAATATGGAAAAAAAATCGGAAAAGCAAAACAAACAGAAAAACTGTTTGAAGGTCTTTCTTCCTAGAGCTCTCATAAAAAAACAAAATGGAAAAAAAAAAAGAGAATAGAAGTCTCCCACTGCTTCACTAACTCCCTAGAAGAAGGTATTGAGAAAAAAACTAAAGGAAAAAACTCAAATAATTACATATCACCTGTTTTCTTCAGAAATATCACCATGTCTGCACTTTCAGACTAATTTAGATCCCTTGGACTATTACACATGAGAATCTTTGCACCCTTCAAAGTAACAGGAAATACATAAAGGGAAATAAACTTGGCCAGGAACTCAGACTGAATTTTTTCTTTTACTGAGGATAAAAGTTTACTGTTTCAAAAAGTAAAAGCTGTTTATAGTTGCAACTAACTTACTTTCAAGCCTTGCATACATTCAATAGCTGCAAGATCAGCAACTGCTCACACCCCTAGAAAAGGAAATGAACCCACCTAGAATCTCAGACCAGAGACAATTAAAATGTTCTATTTTTGCTTTCAGCTATGCTTTCAAAGAATCTTATGCATCATCAAGGCATAAGATGCACTGGAAATTCCTCTAGTTAAGTTGAGCTCAAAGGAGATCGTAACAAACATCCCCTGATCCATCCCATTACAGGAGCCCCATCTGTATTAAGAATCCAAATGTAAAGATCTACAATTCTATGCTATGATCATGTAAAATTTTATTTTGTTTTTCATTATTTTGAACATAATGGATCAAGTAGAAAAGAGACTTTATTTGTTTTCTACAATTTCAACATCATTTACCCACAAATACACTCGTGGAATAAACAAGCTCACTAAAAGGAAAGGAAGTTGGAACAGTTCTACTAAGATGATATTTTGCAGTAATTTGTGTTTGTAGGGCAAGTGGCAAGGGAATTATGATAAATGACTGTCCTATAAACTATCATTTTAGAAATAATCTGTTCACAGTAAGTAACATAATTAACTCTAAAAACTTTACATTTGAGGGCCCACCAACAAAAGCAAAGCCTGGTAAAACAAGTATTTCAGAACCATCAGAACAGATCACACTGTTCTGATCAACAGATTTGATCAAAACTGCTTCAACTCCTTCAAAAAAAGTTTCCGCATACATGCTTGTAACTGTAACCACTGAAAAATGGGACTGTTGAAGTCCTTAATGTCATTCACTGTGACTCCATTCTGGCCACTTAGGAGGCTTTAAAGACTCTTCAGTAGAAGAGTATTTGAACCTGTTCAAGGAAATCAAGGCCAAGAAAGAAAATGCAACAGAATACAAATAGGCTTTGACAAGTAAAAAATGACACTGAATTTATCTCACTGCACACCTGCCCAAAGTTCATTCTGGATGGCAAAACACTGAAGGTTTACAGCTTTTGCCTTTCTTAAGAAAACAAGGCAGAGTTAAAAAGGTTCATGAATCATGAGCTGGCTTCATGAGCTATTTAAGGCCACAGAGCTGTAGGTTCAGGTATTTAAGTAGAAACCAAACATTTCCATGTAGAAATTGCAATTCATGCAGGATTTTTAGATTTCTGAATGTGTGGCACAAACCACATTTAGAACATTTACTTGCATTTGCTGTAATTTCAGCATCTAATTTGTGAAAGGTTTCTAAGTAATCCTGACATCTGCCAGGAACAGCTTCCCCAGATCATCTGTACTTACAATCAATTTCTTCTGAGGCTTAAAAGCCCAAGTTATGAGCAGTGATTGCAGTACCACAGAGCATCACTGAGCTTTGAATACAGAAACAAATGCTTTAAAAAGTCACATTTTCATTCAATGGTGCACAAATTACTCTTATTGCTGCACCTCTAGACACAGCTGGTAACAACTTTCATGGGGAAAAAAAGCTTCCTTAAGAGGCAGAGGGTCTATTATGCATTACCTTCTTTTATTAAGTAACTTTTCAGCCAAGCTACAAGAGAACATCAACAGAAAACCACAGTGTTACATTAAAAAAGCTACAAACACTCTTTTAGGAGTGAGTGTAATGAATTACATGGAGTAGCATGAGGGGGCTTTTAAAGGGCAAGTATAAAAGGAAGTAATCGTTGTATCAAAATTAGACTTTGGGGCATGCATTATTTATACTTTAAAAGTTCTTGTTAATGACTACAGCAAATGGAAGGAAACTAGTTGGGTGAACAGATCCATTGTTTGAAGCCCCTCATTAATACTTCAGCCAGATTAAACAAAGTTGGCCAACAACAGAACCTATATTTCATTTAAGCAGTGGGAGAACTCTACCACCTTCCATCTGCCATCACAAATACCGAGCAACTCGACTTCCCTTTATCAATTCTTGTGAAATTTCCTTAGCCTTACTCCATTAAACTGGCTAGTTCAGTAGGTCCATTTGATGCCATACCAAGGAATCTCCTTCTGGCTAAAAGGACCTGAGCAAGAGTCACTGCAGAACAGAAAATGTAACATTAAATATGCTGTACCTAGTTTCATGAGATGCATTTTGTATGTAATGTATTCTCCAATTGATTCCAAACCAATTTCCCACCTGCACAATCTAGGTTTGAAGTACCATTAACCAAGCAAACCACCATCCCAAGCAGCAGGGCAGTGAATGATGCCTTCACAAGCACAAGAATAAAATGGGTAAAACCATTTTAAAATGGGCAAAACCAAGGACCCTCACGCCTTCCTATTGCCAGCACTAAGGCTGTGTTCACATGTACAAGGACTATTCTCTTCCCACTAATTTACTTGTTTGCAAATTCAGGAAGCCTCCTGTAGCATCAGACCCAATGTGAAACAAGGAACTTCACTGCTGATGATTAGAAGCTGTTTTGAGACTGAACTTCATACAATAAACAAAGCACCACTTATAAGCACAGCACAACTGGGAGTTCATTAGAGCTGCTGCAGATCTGCAGTTAAAGCTGTTCTGCAGTTAAAGCTGCTCTCAACTTTATTGCCCTTCAAACTCAGAAATGCTCAACTATTTTGACTCCATACACACATTAACATACATATTCATACAGAAAGCTCAGAAACTGAACTGCAGTAGTATATTATAGTGTGTTATGCTATATACACAGATCAATACTTTCTTTAAAACTACAACCTCACACATCATTTCACTTGGCTTTATTAAACTCCTTCTTTCCTTATAAATTTCCTGACAGGAACTGTGCAGGATTGTGCTTGGGTTTTATTATCATTTTCCCAAGCTTACATTGTAGCCTAGCACACAGTCCCATGCAATGGCACATTTATTAAGAGTTTTTTCTTGAAAACAAATACAGCAGAAATTTTAGTTCCACAGTTTCTCCATACACATCAAGCACAGAACAAACCCTAAGACAACACTGTGATTAAAAAACTTGTTCAATGAACTTGAAGGGCCTGCATCCTTCAAACCACTGCCACAGCCTCTCCATAGAAAAGATTTCTATTCAATCACCCTGTGCAACATCTCAGCCACAACGAATCCCACCAATGAAAAAAACTTATGGGGACAAGAGGCAAAAGAAGTTAAGTAAAAGATCAAAGAGATTTTATAAATCATATCAAAAAGGAACTTGTGGTATTTTCATGAGAACTGGCATCCTGCTGACCAAAATCTATGGTAAGTGCTTTTACCCTAGCACTAGATTTCTTGCTTCAAACATGCCTTGTAAGGAAATATCATCTAACTGATAATATATGTAAACAAGAAGACAAAAGAACTATCTGGTATCTTCTAAACTTTTACTAACCGTGACTGCCCTGCAAACAGAAAAATCTACTGACAATTGCTGACAGGGCTGTCTCACACAATACTTTTGCTTTTAATTTCCACATCTGTACACCATCTAACATAGCTTAAAAAAAATGCTGAAGCATTTAACTCTGTCAGCTGAGAAGTATTTAACCAGCACTCTCTTATAAAAAACCTAACAAACTCTGAGGCCAAGCACAAGCAGCAAGTAATACAATGTACATGGAAGATGTAACTCAGATAGCAAAGTGATGCTTCTGCTTCTTCTTAAAGTTTCCTCAAAACTACCGTCAAAAAATAATACCAGTGATAATGATTTATACCACAAAAGAGGTCCAGGCCAAGAGAGCTCCACTGCATTTCCAAAGCATCCTCATTTCCATCTGATGCCAATAAAAGCTCAGAAAAATTATAATCAAAGAACAGTTTTGAATTTGTTCTGCATCATGGCAAAATTTGAGTTTAACTCTGATACAGGGGAAGGGAGAGGGAGGGAGAAAACACCAAAACTTGCTATGCCTAAAATAGTGTATTTCTTAAAGCATCCACATTTACAACAAAAAAATCCAATGCTCTCATGGCCCTGGTCTCTGCAGCTGCACTAATTACTGAGCAATTAGCCTATGCAGAAATACTCAAAACTGTAATTTCCATCTTAGAACCAAAACCTGTCTTCCTTAAGTGTTTTATCAGAACTGTACATTTTCTCACTTCTCTGTTTCAGCTAAGTGGCACTTTCCAGCAGAAGCATTATGCTGGAAAATGCCACCATCAACAGTAGACAGCCCTGAAACTGCCTCCTGTTTTTAAGGTTATTTAAGATCTACTCTAACCAAAGCAGATAACTACAACTTAGAATCCATTTCTTAATTAAAATTCCAGAGAAAAGCACTGCTACATTTCACTAAACATGAAAACAAAGGCCTATGCCTCCATTGGTAGGTTGGACATGGACAAGCAAGTGGGTGATTAGGAATGACCTCAGTACTACACTTGGAAACAAAAATGGGAAAATAAAGGACATCTTGTGCTTTTCACAAACCCTAAAGTATGCTAAAAAATTAACAAGCTGGACAAAGCCTTCTAAAAATGTAAACGCTCATGTGCAAGACCTTCATTAAAGACCAAGATTCTAAATATATGAGTTGGCAGCAGAAAGTATAACCTGGAAAATGGGCCAGCCAAAAAGCTTTAAAAGAAGACAAAAAATAAAGATGTATATGTGTGTGTGTGTGTATACACTTCATTCCAACTGAATTGCATTAAGCCTGTGACAAGTTTACAAAAGCTACAGGATTGGAGGGAACACTGACAATAGTAATTCAACAAGGTTTTTTTTTCCCCCTCGTACAGAATGAATGAATGGCAGAGTATTCTAAATTTGTCAGTTTGTGACATCCACTGACCCAGAATTCAGAGACACTACTTCATAGTTGGTGTATCAGTAGCAGGGACTCTGACAAAGATCCTCTGTCAAGGATGACAGTGCTGGCAGGCACAACCTTGCTGGTAGGTCAGTGGGGATAGGACTTGGCAGGCAGCGTCCTGCACCACGCCAACCCACGCTGGTCAAGCGCGCCCCAGCCCAGCCAAACTCCTCTACGTGCTCACAGGAACAGGGCTAAAAAGGCTTCCAGAAAACAGGGCAGGAACTTGCACTGTGACTAATGATAACGGCAAAAGTGTTAAATTACTGCTCAGCTGGCTTTTAATGAGCTGCTTATCGTTAGCCATGAAGATATCTCAAGTGCACTCAGCTCACACAAGAATAAATCTTCTCATTCTGAACACGAGCTGCTTACCTGTTATTAAAAAAAAATCAGTAAAGATCTTTAAAGAAACAGTAACAGATTAAAATAAAATTCATCCCACCAAATCTAACAGAGACATTTGAAGAAACTTGTATTTTAATTAAAAAAACCCAAACAAACATGAATATAACCAGCAAGGCCTTAACTGGAAGGAAGGGAAGACACAGGGACTTGCACAGAATTGCCACAGGAGTATTTCTGCAGGTATGTAATTCAGCCAAGAGCAATAAAAGAGTCCCTTGCACTTTCCTTAGACATCTATAAAGAAAATAGAGGACAGTTTTCTGCAATTAAATATGTCCTCCAAAGCATTAAAGATCTCAACATAATTTGCAAAGAACATTCAAATAAGCCCAAAAAGTTCCTTAATTAAGCATGAGCACTCCATCTTGGGAGACAGTTTTTTCCAGCTCAAATAATATTCTGTGATCATAAAAAACCTCTGCACAGATCACCAACTCCAGGTGCAAGATTAAAAATCTGACTTCCAACAAGTACAAAATAGTACAGGGTCAACAATTACAGTTGTTCCTTCAAGTTCCATTAGAGGTTAAAACTACAACCCTCAAAAAAAACCCAAAAAAAACCACCCACACAGCTGTACACAGCAGCACACCCTGTTGTGATCTTTTGTCATCAATAGAAAGAAATGCAGAAGAAGCCTCTCTTCCTTCTTTTCCATTTGTCAGCCCCATCACCACTGTCCATGTGGGCTTCCACCTGGAAAGTCCTCTTCAGAAAAAGAGAAAATTCCTATCTCAAGTGCATGTCCTCCACATTTGAAAGGAAAAGAAAGATTTGAAAAAGGTAGGTATCCCAGTAAGCACATGGTTTCTTGGGGTTTTATTTTGCAGAAATAAGTGGCATTAGTCACTTAGCAGCAATTTCAAGGCCAAGTGAACAAAATTATAATATCAGAGGTAAGAGTAAACCACTATCAAACGGTAGGGATTAAGACATTAAATCCAACACAGACAGGGCACTCTCAAAAGTTACAACACACTAATTATGAAACATCTTCAATTAAGTTATTTGCTGCTTCTATTAACTTCCACTACCACTAGCTGCCAACTTCATAAAGCATTACAGGTTTTGATGAGCACAGGCACATGCCTGCAAGTGTTTGCACCTTTTTCTTTACTCCAGTCAAACTGTGATTCCTCAGAATACCAGGAAGATATTCTGAGCAGAACTTCTGTAACTGACACACGCAACAACTACGCTCCTTTCAGTTTTCATTCTTTTTAAAGCCACCCATGGAAGGCTAATTATCTGAAATTAACGAAGGAATGAAAACAGCATGAGATTTCATCTAAACCCATCATATACTGACAATCTAATTTCCCATGACAGACAAAACTTTGCTGATGCAAATTCTGACAGTTATTCCTTGGAGGTTTTGTTACAGCAGTGAGCCCAAGTGATTCACTGCATGGAATTTCTAAATCCCTACCTATTCTACCAAGAGACTCAACAACTATTATTGAACCTGTTCAATAATACATTAAACACTACTGCTGAATCAGTTCTTCCCTATCTCACTTTCCTGCGAAATATCACTCAATCACCTTCAGGTCACATTAGAAACCCCACAACTGGAACAAAGCACAGATTATTTGATTTCCAGTCTTGTGCTTTTAACCGCAAGAGCATATTTCCTCTATTAAATTTACAACCCGCAGAAGACAAAAATTGCCATTCTAAATCCCCGAAGCTGTGCATCTGTTGGCAGGCAGCTGTCAGGGCTACACGAGAGGAAGGCCAAGGTGGACAAGTGTGTAAGTGTGTGTGTGTGTGTGTGTGTGTGTGTGTGAGCCCGCACATCGCCTCCCGCCTCTTCACCAGCGCCTGCAAATGTGTTTGTTGCTCTCCCCTCGCTCGCTCAGGCCTGACTCCAGTTAAGAGAGTCCTCGAATCCTCCCCAAAAAACAAAACACCCGAAAAAACCCAAACAACAAAAATAAGAGACAACCCTCTCGAGCCTCCGCGGAGCCCGGCGGTGTCCGCTCCTGTACCGGCACCACGCGTGTCCGCGCAGCCCCGCGGGCGGCCCCGCGCTCTCCTCTCCTTCTCGGGGCTGCTCCTTCCCCCGCAGGCCGCTCCCCGCGCCCTCCCGCCCCGCCGGGACCCCCGTGTTACCGCGGGCCCGCCCGAGGCCTCGGCCCCGTCTCCCCCCGCACCCTCACGGCCGCCCGGAACCCGACTCGCGGCGCCGCGACCCCGCGGCCCGCAACCTCCCTCCCCAACCATCCCGCCGCCCCGACCCACCCGGCGCGGAGCAGGCGGCCTCCCCGGGGCGGGTGTCCGTGAGGTGCCGGCTGGGCCGCGGCCGCCGCTGCTGCTGCAGCGAAACTTTGCCGGGGGAGGCGGCGGGACGGGAGCGGCGGCGGGGCCGGCGGGGCCAGCGCCGGGACCCGGATGTGCGTGGGGCGGGGCCGCGCGCGCGCCACGGCGGCGGCGGGAGGAAGCGGGAAAAGGGCCGGGCCCGGCCCGGGTGCTGTGTGGGAAGGGGCCCTGTGGGGAATTGGCCCCGCGCTGTGAAAGGGAGCGAAATAAACACAAATAATGAATTACTAAATAAGTGTGCGGGGTTCGGTGATCAGAAAGTAACGTCTCACATAACGGAGCAGTAGAAAAGGTCCCGAAGGTCCCGCTGCGATGGCGGGCACTGCTGGGGCCGAGGGTCGGCGCTCTCTCGCCGTACCGTGCGCTGCTGCCCTGGGAACCGGGGCGGTCCTCACAGAGCCCCCGGCTCACTTGGGCTGGAAAAGAGTTGGAGATCACTGAGCCCAACCTCTGACCAACACCGCCGTGCCAACCAGCCCATGGCGCTGAGGGACACGCTCAGTCTTTCCTGAAACTCTTCAGGAACAGTGACTGCCACCTCCCTGGGCAGCTCCCTGCAATTTCTGAGCACCATTTCTGTGAAGAAATTCCTCCTGGTGTCCAACCTAAACCTCCCCTGGTGCAGCTTAAGACTGTGCCCCCTTGTCTTGTCACTGCCCAGGAGCAGAGCCCGGCTCCTACCTGGCTACAACCTCCTTCCAAGGTGTTGTAGAGAGTGGGATGGTCCCCCCAGCCTCATCTCTGGGTGTTATCCACAATGTCTTGGAGCAGCTGAGGTCCTTCAAGGGGCTGTGTCTCTGAGTAAATTACTAAAATACCTAGTGGAGCTTGTGTCAGCGGTGTCAAGGATGGCTATAGAATGGATTGCACAGATGAAGATTTTCCTACTGTGTATAATGCCACTATGGGATAGACTCTTGCCGTCCTCATTGTGTGACATGGAAGTGAGCACTGTTGCCTCAAAGCTGCTTTTGGACTGCACAGAAGAAAATTTCAGAGCGGTATTGGGCCAAAAACATATCCAGTGTGGCACAACAATGTCTGACCTTGGTTAAGCATACTGCAGGCACAAGTGTTTCTTGTCATTTTTAACTGAGTGAATTATTAGATATGAGGGTATTTTAAAGAAGAATGAGCAATGAGTGCAAGGCTGACCCACGCTCAGCTCTGCTCTTCAGGGCCAGGTAGAACCATTCACCACAAACTATTGTTGAGGTCTGAACTCCAATGGCTTTGAAAAATATAACTTTATATGGGCAACAGGAATGTCCACAATTAGAGGAAAGTATTTCACACTTCACTCACTTCACAACACAAAGGCTGCTTTCCTCAGAGACTGATCATGGCCAGCTTCATACATACTACTGAACTAAGCTAAATCCTCATCTGATAACTACAGAAATTCCTACAGAAGATTTTCTTCCTATGGTCAAAAAAAAATTGTGTAGGAACAGATATATGTGGCAAACCCATTATTTGTTCATAAATTTGTGTGTCTGTAGAACATGTAACTACAATTAGACATCTGGCATGCCAATTGTATCTGGCATGCCAACTGAATCTTGCTATCAGATTCCTTTTGGAAAAAAAATAGAAGCATGCAAATATGGTTGAAAGTGATTCTATATACATATAAAAATACATATATAATTAAGTTACAAAGAAGCCACATGCAACCTTGTGTTTTATTTGTTTAACTTAAAGGTATATCATCTACCAAAAAGAAAAAATAAATCAAGAAAAAACAATGTAAAGTTCAAAGAAATAGGGAAAAATATCAATTGAGCCAAGCTGAAATTTCGATTTCAAGTATATTTGAGCTTTGAAGAAATTTTCTTCTGGTTCAAAACTACATGGCTCTTGGATGTAAACAGAAGTTCTTAAGAAGTCAATTAATAGCTCAACAGGATATCTCTACTAAAGTTCATGGCAGCAGTGAAGGAGCAAGGCTTTGGTATAATTTAGTCCCAGAACAGAGCTAACCTTTGGGGACTCCTCTGTATCTCTGCACCAGCAATTGTTCTGCTTTGGCCAGGCTGTCCAAAATATGGGACAAAAAATAAAACAATAACTGTTGGCCTTTTTCCAAATCTTTTGTGTAACTTAATTAATAAACCAAGTAACAAACAACAAATTGGCAGCAGGCATTTTAGGTGTTGTTCATGTGCCAACCATCATGTCTCTGGAAAACAATATGTTCTCCTCTGTTGAGGAGTTACAAAACACTTGTATACTGCTGGGTGAATCTACATCACAGAGCTCCAATGCACTTCCTGCTGTAGAGGTTTCAGGGCTCCCTCAGTGATGAGGGAAGCTGAAGGTGTGCATGCAAGAGTAGGGGGAAGACAAGCAAAACTCTAACATTTCCAAAATTAAGTTTTCCTAAAAATTCTCAATTTAAAACTACAGGCAATGGAGACATGTCTGCTTGCAGCACACCCTTCTCAGAAAACAGTGATTTTTAAGCACAATGCAGAGGCTATTTTGGAGTGTGGTAGTAAGAAATATGATAATTGGTCTGAAAAGTAGGTCTCCTTTTTTTTTCAGTGCCATTTTGTCACAGACTAATGTTGAATGGTAACCCCCAAATGTCTGAAATCAAAGTATCTCTTTGTAGTCAATGAGACTGATAAAATACAAAACAAGTGACATTGGCTACCTGATGATTCAGGTCTGTGTGCCCTTAAGGCCACAGGAAAATTGACTCCACTTTCACCACTGCCTATTCATACATGGTCTCCATCATTTGGATCTCTGGTGCCACATTCCAGTGGGTCCACTCTAATAACATATCAAGTTCAATAAAGGGACAACAAGGAGACTCAAAGCACCCTGGACACATTTTCCAGAAATCCAAAAATTTCACAAATTCCTGAATTTCACAACTCATGGAGCCATCGATCCTATTTTATCACTGTCAAACCCAGATTTTCCAGCACACAGACATGCAGCTGTGTTCATCCAAGGAAAAATGACTACCTAACCTCCCTTACCTGAATGTTTTAATAATTAAATTATGTTAGATTCTGCAAAGACAACTGCACATGTTTATACTTGGGGGCCTGCCTTATAAAGTCAGCTGAAGTACAAGTACCTGTCTGATTCCTTTGTGCACAGGCTAATGGCAATGAGGGCAGAAAAGCACCTTCCCACAAAGCTGAGTTACAGTAGGTGTTTATGTCAGAGTGAGAGATAACCTCAAAGTCTGATCAAAGTGCAAAACAACCAACAGAAGAACTACCTACAGCTATCAGGCCTTCCGTGGTTGAGAAGTGTGAAGTTCAAGAACTATCTTAGATTCCATTATTTTAATTTTACTCTCTGGATTTTGAATACTATTCCTATATTTCTTAATGAAATTTTTAGTTGTTTAGAAGTGAATTAGTATGAAAATCAAATAGATTGTTTGAATTATAAGGAAATAGTCTTGAAAAAAAGTTGCTTTATCACAAAACTATGGCCTTCCTTTAATTTCTTAAATGGCTGTATTGTTCAATTTCATTCTCTATCAACTTTCTAATTTACTGGGGAAAGAAGGTGGAATGTTGTTTAAAAAAGAAAAATAAATATATGTAAACAGTTGCCATGTCTCTACCCACATTAAGCATTTGCAAAGCCACTTTATGTTAAAAAAATCCTGTAGTGTGAAAGATGGCCTGGATATTTAAACCAAATCTAGCTTAAAAACAGAATTAGGGGAAATGGATAGGATAGCTCAAGAAAGTTCCACTCTCACAGCTGTCAGCTGAGAAGAAATGGGGGAAGGGGGAAATGCTGAGAAAGGAATTTATTTTTTTTTTTTTGGCAGTGAAGAGAGGAACATGCCATCCCTGTTTGAAAAGTTTCAGGGTGGGAAAGGCTAAGGAGGGGCTAACATACTATACATACCTTTATGTATATTTTTGAGGCAGAAAAACAGTGTTGTGTTTAAGCAGAGTTCAGCGAGTGGAGAGGGAGGGGACATTCACTCTGGCCATTTGGTTCTCTTAAATAAGCCCACAATTGACAGCAGGCTGAGAAAAGGCACAGGAGGTGGTGGGAGGCTGCCTCCCAAGAAGACAATACAAATGCTGTGTACCTTGCATCACATATGTAAGAAAATGGAAATAACCTTTAGTGTCTGGAGGAAAGATATTAAAGAGTTTATCAGCAAGGCCCTCAGAGGTGTAGGCTCCTGTGAAGTTACACTCACTGGCTCACAGCCTTTGAATCCCCAGAGCTAATTCTCAAATTAAGGAGCCTGTTATTGTTACAGCCACACTTCTGGGTACCTTGCATGACAGCTCACAGAGAGAAAGGGAGAGAAGAATTAGCCTTGTTTCCTGAAGCTACAGATAGAAGACATTAACATGAAATTGTAGACCAGGTGAGGGAAGGCAAGCCAAAAGTATTCTTCTGAGCAAGTTTAAAGCTGCAAACTTCTCTTCCTAGACTGGGAAAAGAAATGGGCTGAGACACTTAGCTAAATAATGCTATGGGACATCTATGGGGATGTTAGAAACAAAGACATAATTATGTAAAAGTTTTGTAAGTTCAGCTCCACTGCACAGAATAAAATTGTGAATGTACTGGGTATGGTATATCCAGTTCAACAGACCTGAGAGTCACTTAGGATGCAAAACTGAACACATAATTCAAGAAAAAAAGCCTGAAAAATATATTAAAAGGGCAACATCCTAAGAAAGGAAAAAGGACACTGCAGGAAGACTGAGATGTGTATGAAGGTATGCATAAGAGCATTTGCTTGAGAACTACCACAAAGTCCACATCAGAGTGGGAACCACCATTTGTTGACACCTATGGATACAGTCCAGCCAGGGCAGAGTACTCCTAAATCAGATCTTCTTGGAATGGGGTGAAAACCTTCCCAGAGAAATGGAAAAAATGTCCCAGCTGATGAACACAAAGTATTATAGTGCTCTTAGAGAGGAAATGGTAAAGATAGTTTTAAACACCTCGAATCCTTTGAATATTCCTCTGGTGTTATTTTTCTGGACCATCCCCAGCTTG